TCTGCATTTCATCACCATCCCTACTCAGTGTGGGTCACGCCACACTGTGTCATTCCTCTTTGCTTAGGTCCCATCCTGCAAGTGCATCCCTGTCACTCAGGTGGGACACACCCTCTCACCTCCTGTCTCAGGAGGGGCCTGGCTGACAGGGGAGGTGATGGAGGACTTTGTCTCTCCTAAAAGCAACACACTGTGAGCCCACTTGCCAGATTCTCCCAACTGGATATGGAAATGGGTTGGAGGTGTGGTGAGACCAAGGGTCCACTGAGAGAGGAAGGAGGAGTCGGGCTTGTGAATCTGGGCTCCTGTCCAAGATGGGCAGGGGTTGTGTAGGTAGTGCCGGAGGAGGGATGGCTGGATGGGGCGGGAAGCTGGGAGGGAGAGGAGGAGTGGAGAAGATGTGCTTGCAGGGTTGGTCCCTCTGGGCTCGCTGCCTGGCTGCGGAAACCTGCACTCATTCTCTGCCTTCCCATGGACTCAGCTCTGCTTCCGTCATTTTTCTTTCCTTCTGACCTAGGACTGGGAGCTGCATGTGAAAGGGAAACTACATGCTCAGAAATGCTTGGTCTTCTCTGAAAAGTAAGTGCTGTCCAGGGGAACAGGTTCATGCATGCGCTCGACCAATATTCATTGAGCACGTACTATGTGCCATGCCGTTCTAGGTGTTGGGGAAACAGAAGAGAACAACACAGGCAAAGTTCCTGTCCTCAAGGAGCTTACACTTAACGGGGAGGTGGGGGATCAGATGATAAACAAAATAAACGCTGAATTATATAGCATGCCTGGTGATAAATGCTAAGCAGAAAATAACGTCAGGGCAGGGGCAGGAAGTGTGTGTGTGTGTGTGTGTGTGTGTGTGTGTGTGTGTGTGTGTGTATACACACGCACGCAGGATCTGGTCCTTGGATTTTAAATGGCAGAGTGGGGGCTTGCTGAGGCCACTTCAGGAGAGGATGGAATGAGCTGTGAGTGTCTGGGGAACATGCACTCCCAGCCAAGGGAACAGCAAATTTGAAGGCCCTGGCGTGGCCCTGGGTTGCTCAGGCAGCACCAGTGTGACCAGAGCGGAGTGCTGGGTGAGGAGCCAGGAAGGTGCCAGCTTGTTTGCTTTGAGTGCGACTGGAGCAGGGGAGGGCTGAGCAAAGGCTAGTTGGGGGGCAAAGGCAGACACCCGGAGACCAGTGAGGAGAGGCTGCAGATTTCTACGCAGGGAGGTAGAACAGAGGATGGGGTTCAGTGTTTTGAAATGACTGCATTCAAAAGGCCTCCCTTTCTTACTGACAGTAGCCCAAAGGTGGAAGCAACCCAATGTGCATGCCAGGTGAACAGGTAAACAAAATGTGATGTATACATACAGTGAAATACAGGGCAGCATTAAAAAGGAACAAATTTCTGACACATGCGATAACAAGGGTGAACCTTGAGGACATGACGCTAAGTGAAAGAAGACAGTCATAAAAGGACAAAAACTATGTGATTCCACTTACAGGAAGTACCTAAAGCAGCCAGATTCATAGAGACAGAAAGTAAAATGATGGTTGCAGGAGCTGGGGGAGGGGGAAAATGGGGAGTTAGTGTTGAATGGGTAGCGAGTTTCGGTTTTGCAAGATGAAAAGCATTCTGTGGATGGATGGTGGGGATGGTTGTAAAACAGTGTGAATGTGCTTAATGCCACTGAACTGTATGCTTAAAAATGGTAAGCTGGTAAATTTTGTTATGTGTATTTTACCACAATTTAAAAAATGATTTTTAAAGAGGTCTTTCTTCCCTGGCTTCCCATTTTTTTTTATTGTGGTAAAATTCTCGTAAAACCCACTATTTTAACCATTTTGAAGTATCCAATTCAGTGGTATTTAGCACGTTCCCAAGGTTGTGCAGATCACTATCTAATTCCGCGTTTTCATTGCCTCCAGGGGAAACCCCATGGCCCATCCATCAGCCCCTGGCACTGCTAATCTGCTTTCTATCGCTATGAATTTGCTTCTTCTGGACATTTCATATAAATGGAATCATGTAATATGTGGCCTTTTGTGACTAGCTTTTTTCACTTAGCATAATATTTTCAGGTTTATCCATATTACAGCATATACCACCTTTTTATGGCTGAATAATGTTCATTGATGTATGTATATATCACATTTTGTTTATCTATAGATAAATCTTTTGATCTACACGTGGCATGTTTCCACCTTTTCGCTATTATGAATAGTGCTGCTATCAACATTCACGTATAAGCTTTTGTTTGAACATCTATTTTCCACTATTTTGGGTCTATTCGTAGGAGTGGAATCTGGGTCATATGGTAATTCTTTATTTATCTTGCTGAGTAACCAGTTCCCCCTTTTTCACCTTTCTCCAGTGCTGGTGTCCGGTGTATACTCAGTTCGGCAGAGGGAACTCTGTGTGCCTCTCCCAACAGCACAGCTGTTTATAACCCTGTTGACAGCGAAGGTGAGTTAGAGCGTACAGGTCAGCAGCTTGAACCAGAAATCAGCTTCCCAAAGCCTTATCATGCCATAGTTTTAGTGGTCAAACTTCCCTTGTGTGCCCATCTATAAAGCAAACAAATCCAGGACACTGGCACTCAGTGGGCCTGCCGTCTGGGCTCTTCAATATTTTCTGACATATCTTAGCTTTGTTGGTTATCAACATGCCCAGAAAGTTATAATCACGCCAATCCCTAATCAATATGTTAAGAGGGAGTTTTCATTTTTCTCTTCCCACTTATGTCCTAATCATGACTTTTGAAGGTAAAGTAAATAACTAGGTTTTCACCAGTTTTGTGTAATTTATCCTTTAGATTATGCCTCAAATCTTGGAACATCATATGCAGCCATTCCAGCAAGGTCATTTACTCAGTCAAATCCCGCCTTTCCTTCAGCTTCCCCCGGGACAAATGTGAGTATAGATTCTCCATTGTCATTGTCATTGCCATCATCCAGGCATTCGTAGCCCCTGCTATGCGTGGGTGTAGAGGTGCAGAGGAGCTGGGGCTTTGTGCAGGGCAGGGAAAAGTGTCCCTGGACAGAGGGTGAGACTTGTGTCGTTCAGCCCAGTGAGTATTGAAACACACAGATTAAAAAGCTGACATAGGCCTTTTGAGCATTTTGAGCCTTGCCTCTGCTTGGGGCCTGCTTCAAACTCTTTGGAGTGTACTTTCTTTTCTAATAATGGCCCTTCAGCCTCTCTCTACTGTTTGGGCCTGCTTCTTTGAAATGTATTTTTTCTTCTAATAAACTCCTTTTCTGCAACTTAAAAAAAAAACAACTGACATAAATTGTTAAAATTGAAGGCATTCATAGACTTTCTAGCATTCAGCCCTGGTTGAGAAAAAACTAAGTTTCATTTTGTGCATGTTGCTCTTTTTAAGGCGTTGATGTTGTACTGAAGTGGAGTGTTTCCTATGAGCAGTCATTCTGAAACTTGAAGCAGAAAGAGAAAATATGTTTGCAAGTGAGGACCTTGCACTAATGGTGTTTGTTGGCCCCTTGGGGAAATGGCTGCATCTGTACAATACTTTGTTTTTAGTTGTGTTTATGCTCCTCTCTCTCTCTCTCTCTCTCTCTCTCTCTCCAATGTGCACGTTAGTCCCCCAAAGCTCCAAAGCTTCACCCCTTCTTTTCCACTGGTTATGACAACACTTTCTCTCTGGTTTCTCGCCGCCATGTAGCCTTGTGCTCCCAGGAACTTCTCTTCTCCTTCCCTGGGAACACATGGAAGGGGGTGGGAGGCACAGAACTGAAAGGAAAACAGAATGTGTTTGCTAGAGGACGTGTAGCTGTGTGCTTTTGCCTGTGCCTGTAATTTTGTTCAATTCCTGATGTGAGCAGCTGCAGCCTCTTTCTTCTCATGCAACAAGCGAGCACAAGCTCCTGACAGGAGGCCTCCACGTGCTGTCCCCTCCGCGTGTCGGGGCATTTGTGCAAAACATCAGATGAACGAGCTGGGATTTTTAGGCCCTGGGGGGTGAGAGAATGGGGAGGCAAGGAGGTTCACGACAAAAAGTGAGGCCTGCCTGGGCTGAGATTTCTATTTGTTTGTGTCTGTTCGTGATGTTTAATGGGAGAAATGCTTCAAGAGAGCCCCGGCTGCAAGCCCTCGTTTTGGAGAGAGAGAAGGTTATGGTTTCTCTCTCTGCACTCGCCATGCTCAGTTGCCACTTTGGGTCAGTACCAGGAGAACAGAGTGGCTGGCTTCAGTGAGCCCTGCCATTGGTCTTTGATCATATGACCTTGTGTCCCGGTGGGGGTGCTGGTAGATCCAGCACCACCCCCAACCCAGGGCCTGTTTCCCCCACTGTGGATCATAGAGGCATCTCTGTGCCCACAACCTGCTCTAAGACCCTAGCATGGAGGGTAAGGGGACTGTGGCCCAGATAGGGGAGGCTGGATCGGAGGCAGGTGGGTCAGGGATCTGAGCAAAGGAAAGAGCTGGTGTCAGCTGAGCCCCTTTATAAAGGGGAAGAGGCTGAGAAGGACAGCTCTGCATCTGTCGATGCCTCCACCCCCATCCCTTGGGGCTGCCCAGTGAACTAGAACCCCTTTCCTGTGGAAATGGAGCCAGGAGCCCGAAGTTCAAGTCTTAGTTCTGGAGCCCACCAGCTATGTGGCCTTCTGCAAATCACTTCACTTCTCTGAGGCTCCGTTTCCTTAAACGGGACAATACCCCCCTAGTAAATGACTTTTGAAGGTAAAGTAAATGGCTGGGTGTTCACCTGGCTTGTGTGATTGATTGGAACGTTGTATGTGGCCATTCGAGCAGTCTCCCGGTTCAATGTCCAGAGCTGGCAGGTAGGAGCAAGACCGGGGGTAGACCAGAGTTTCCTGCCCTTGAGAGGATCAAATGAGCCCATGAATGATAACGATTTGTGAACTGTGCAGTGCGCAAGAAGTAACAATGGCTGTTATCGAGTAAGAGTCTTTTTCACCTGCTGTGGGGAAACCTGTGCTGTCTAAGGCCTGTTATGACTGCTAGCTGCGTGACTTTGGGCAGGTCTCAGTGTTCCTCATGTAGGAGTCTGTCCAGGAATCCCTGTGGTCATACCTGCTACCCCCGAGAGATGTTGCAAGGCTTCCATGAAAGCAGTTTCCTTACCTGCGGGGCAGACCGAGCAATCTGCTGACCCAGGATAATTCGTGAGCGCAGTTTCCTTCCAATGCCTAGAAACAGGGAGGTCATCTGGCTCGAGCCTGAGGAGAAGCAACACAAGAAACATTTTGCTGTCTGCATTGGAGGCCAACAGGAAGGTGATGGAGAGCCCCAGATGTTGTAGGATGATGATGATACCAATAGTGGATGGTCTATAGCACAATGCATTCTTCGCAATTTTGTATGTATTAACTCATTTCATCCTCCAGACAACCCTGTGAGGTGGGGAAGCCCAGGCGGAGAGAAACTAAGAGCCTTACCTCAGGTCACACAGCTGCTAAATGGAGGCATCGGAGTTTGAACCCAGGTGGCCTGGCTCTAGAGGCCTCGCTTTTAACCACCAAGCCCTGCTGCATCTCTTCGAGTGTCTCTGACTTCCTTGCTCTGATTCTCTCTTTAGTGAGCTCCCTTTCCTCCCCCCACCCCCATCCCACAAGCTGCTTAGCAGAATCGGAGGTGTCTTGGGGGTGCGGGGACATATAAGGCCTCAGCCAGCCATCAGCCATGGCGCACGAATTCTTTGCTACCGTGACAGCATCTCCCAGAATGAAGGAGCTCAGACGTTTGGAGGCATTTTCTACAGACCCAGTGGAGGGGCAGAGGTGTCATCTGACTGGTTTTATCGTTTATAAGTTCTTTGAGGTCTTGTTGGTCACATGAGCTTTCCCAAGGATACCTGAGGGACAAGGACAAAGCCTGCCCAGCCATACCTCAGCAGGGGCCGGATGGTCACATACTTCTTTCGGCTTCTGGTCCTCTTGTTTGCCATTTCTGGCAAATGGAATTGAATGTAGGTGTATCTCTCTTTAGGAAAACCTGAAAGACAGAAATATTGACATTTGAAGACAAGCTGAGACATGAAGGGCTGATTAATCCACTACGGAAAGATAATTTACAAGCTTCCCTTAAGTAACAGGGGAGTCCCTCAGAGAAATGACTGATTTTTTTTTCCTGCCTACAAATACTGACCTCCAAAGATAAGCAGATACATCAAAGGGTGATTACTCTGCTAGCAAATGACACTTTGCCCTGTGAGCTGCTTGTGCATATACGTTTCTACTGTCATTTTCTGCTTACAAAATGTATACTTTTTGTGAAAATTCAAACTGGAAAGACGTATTTAATGAGAGATTGAAATTCCTCCATTATCCGCCTCCAGCCCACATGAGAGCCCATGAACGCTTTGATGCGCTTTCCTCCAGAAGTGTTTCCTGGTCGGTCCTGTGCCAGGGCTTTTTCTGTCCGTCCACGTACGTACATCTTTTCAGAAACACATTTTGTGGAGGAGCCGCCAAGACTCCACCATTGTATTTTATTATCACTGTTGTTTCAGGAGCCAAGAGTGGTCCCTGCTTCGAAAGCCCCCTCTTCTTAAGCAGGAGGACCCAGTGACACGGGGCTCTGGGAATGAGCCTTCACAGGGTCTCTGAACTGCTACACCATCTAAAACGATGGCAAACCCCATCTACCGCCTCCACCAAGCCCAGGCTTGGCTGCTAAATTGACACTCGTCTCAGCTCCCTGGGAGTGTGAACCTTTTGTTTCCATGTTTATTGTTGACAGAGATGAGACACTGAGCCGACAGTTGTGTGCTGTGTTTGCTGTTGGGGGTGGAGGCGGGGAAGGGGGGTGATTTATGTCGTCCCCAGTCCCTCCCCCCACTCCCAAGGTCCCAGGAGAGTGTGTTCATTTTCGCTGAAGCCTCTGCCATTTGAGAGAGCAGAGGCACTTTATCCTTGGCTGACAGGAGTCGTCATAAACAGAGTAATCGGGTTTCTCGAACAGGCCTTCAGGGCCTTCTCAGGCTGTAAATAGTTTTCTTGCACCTGCCCAAAATGTACTTTGCCTGCTGACTGTCCCCATAAAACCGCCGTGAAGTTTTTACCGCCACCTTGGGCTTTATTTAGTGCTGATGCACAGATGGGCCTCGCTGGCCGGGGACGATACACATTGTTTTTATAGATTCTTTCTCACCGGGACCCCACACACTGGGAAACCTATATACTGGGTTGTAAGAAAAGTCATGACGTATTTTTTTCTATGTTTTTCATTGCAAAAATGCGTCATGACTTTTCCGACAACCCAATAAATAAGGAAAACTGAGGCACATGGAAACCTTTGTGGAAGGCCAGAGGTTTAAGTCCTGGGTTGCCCCTCACATCGCTGGCTGTTTCTAGAACATCTGTCTGTTCACTCTGGCGTTCTCTGTTCCTGCGTCAGAGCCCTGTGGTCTCCTCACTTCCAGAGAGCAGGAAGATAGCGTCTGATGGGACAAATGATACTCACCCCTCCCCCACCAACCAGCTCCCCCATTGCTCCTGTCCCCTCCGAGAGGGTTGCCTTATGCATTTTTAAAGAGCAGAGAGGGAGGAAACAGGCGAGCTGGGCAGGTTTGGTTTTCTGTTGTTTTCCTTTTCTTTTAAAAAATCTTAATTATTTTTTCTTATTGCAAAAAATAGTACAAAAATAGTGTAAAAAAATTCCAGTAGTAACAGAAATATGAAAAATAGAAAACCCAAGCCTGCAGAGAAAACTGAAGGTAGATGCCTTTTGCTGTAACTGTGTATCTCTAACTAGTGTACATGTGCGTGTTTAATGACTAAAAGTATATATCTTTACAAAAGTCAGAGAATACCATATAATCTGTTTTACTTATTTTTTTTTCATTTAACATAAACTCACAATACCTATTTTAATTGATTTCTAGGCATCTTTGCGCATTCGAACATAAAACCCCTATCTTCTGTTGTAACACCATCTATTGTATGCATTTACCATAATTTATCACGTCTGCAATTGATAGATTTTGCAGTGAGACCTGAGTTGTAATCACAAATCTAACGTTACTTCATTGCCCACAGATTAAGTTCCTTAACTTCCTCCAGGCGTCAGCACCCACACACACCGTGATGGGTGTGGACCACATGACCTCCCAGTTTTAAGACTGTGACTCTGCAGCGTACAGGGATATTGAAGTTGCTCCACAGGTGAACCACCCCAAGACCCATTGGCAAGTCTGGCACCAATAAAAGATTTACTCTAAGTCACAGCTAATATGCTTGATAAAATATTTGAAAGTGTCAATAAAGACATCTATCACTATATCTATCCTCCAAGAGCCATAGTTATGGAACGCATGCCCATCTACGATATGTTCAACATCAACAACGTGAGGAATAAACATTTGCCCTGGGTCTGTGCTCGGGTGTCTTTTGCACAAAATCAACAGAGGCCCACAAACTGTGTGCCAGATGAAATAAGGTCGCCCCTAAAGGAGATCAGGCTAGAGCACAGACATTGTTTCTTAAAGAGCACATCTCCATTTGTAGCTCTAGGGAGCACTTTGAGAGACCTCTCACCCCCACAGGCCTGTTGCCCTAAGCCGCATTTTTATTGTGACTCTGGGCATTATTTGAACTGGGCATGCTCTTTGAACTCACCTGCAAAGCCTGTTCCCACCTTCATCAGCAGGCATTGGAAGGTCTTAGAATCTTCCTTCACAAGCCTGTTTGCTCCTTTCACATGTCTACCCATTTGTAAAGAATTTGTGGGTGAGTTGAGAGGTCTGGGACTCAGCCGCATGAACCGTGAGAAGCAGCCTCTGGTTTTAAATGAGTGACCATAGCATGTGAAAATGCACAGCCCAGGCCCCTGCTCGCACAGGGGCATTCCAGGTCAGTGCTGGCCTGCAGGCCGACTGAAGCGTCCGCCAGAAGAGGAGGACTGTCCCTTTAGGTTAGTGATTCCAGTCCTCTACAACCTTCGACTCCTTAGCTCACTTAGAGATTTGACCTTGGACTGGAAAGTTTCAAATGCGCCTGTCCTGTGTGTGCCTCCCAGAGCACAGCAGCAGGGTTGGGATGTTAACAGGGCCCATCAACACCTGACCAAAAACAAGCTGGCAAGGTCTTACAAGTCTCTCTAAATCCATCTGCTCCTCTGCCCCAGAGCACAGCTTTTAAAATGTGTTATTAGTAACTTTTAATTTTAATATAATTCAGACTTACAGAAAAGTTGTAAGAAAGGTATAAGGAACGTCCAAATACATTTTGTGCAGATTTACTACTCCTTTACATTTTAGCCCATTTATCATTCTCTGTGTGTCTTTCTGTCTCTGTGTGTGTCTTTCTATCGTCCACCTGTCCATCCATCTCTATCTGTCTGTCTGTATATCTTGCCATCCATCTGTCCATCCGTCTCTGTCTATCCATCCATCTCTCTGTCTAGCCATCCACCCATCCATCTGTCTGTCCATCGTTTTCTCTCTGTCTTTCCATTCATCTATCTAATTCATCTATGCCTGTTTTTCTCTTGAATCACTGGAGACGTTGCACCTCTTCACCTCTAACTATGTCAGTAGGAATTTCCTAAGAACACAGACTTTCTCTTACATAATCACAGTACAGTTGCATTTTCCACCCCAGTCTAGGATCATTGTAGCACATCCTTTCACTGTTGGTGGAAAGGAGACAAATATTTATTTATAGGAGCCTACTGGACGCCAGGCCTTACACAAGGCACTTTACATACATTGTCTTCTAAACAGTCCCGTGGGATCAATTTTTATTTTCCCTGTTTGATAGACAAGCAATCTCGAGCTTGGAGAAATTCAGTAACTTGCCTACGGGTAGTCACTGGGGCACAGATCCAGAACCAGGTCTGTTTGATGTTCCCATCGCGTTGGCACTGCTGCCTGGAGACAATAAGGCACACACTTGATGTGTGTCTGTCCTTAGGCAGGCACCAGGCCCAGGTGTCCTTAGCTCAACTCAATGCATCATCTCAAGTCTTCAAGGCACTGTGGCTGCAGAGTCATTCAGGGAGCAGCAGAGCTCATCGGCAAGGTGTTCCCTACAAAGGTGCGACCACCACCACCACAGACAGGCATGTCTGAAAGATGAATGTGCTCATGACCGTACGCAGGTTGAGACAGACGATCACGTAGAGAGGGAGGACAGACCTTACACGCGTTGGGACAGGGAGCGGGAAGGACACAGCTGGGTGAAGCCATCGTTATCTTGGATCTTCGGGCTTCGCTTGGCCAGGCTTCTGGGAGAAGAGGAATTTTGGAACTTAGAGCCACATGAGCGTGGATGTTTTACATCTGGAAAGGACTTTAGATTTCCAGACCCTGGGAAACCAAGGCCCTGAAAGGAATACTCGTCTGTCTCTGTCACGTACCTAATTAGTGGCTGAGCAGGGACTTGAATCCAGGCCCTCTGTCTTCCAGGCTCAGGTTCTTTCTATTACATCAGGAAGTCCCATCTTTTCAGAGCCCAAACCCATTTTAATCATTACGCCTACCTCAAGCAGCCAGTGTCCTGCATTCCATGTTTGGAAAAGTACTGTTATATATCTGCCAAAGTACTTATATTAGTGAGTAATTAACTAGTTACCCATTTTTGTTCATCAAAAACACAGACACGCCAATCAGACTTCTAATCAGCCTAAGATCTAACCGGGGTTACCGTACTGTTAGAATAAAGAAATGCAAAGTGTGATCTCAGGTTTTGTTTTGTTTTGTTTTGTTAAACTTTATTGGGGCACATTGTGTTTTTCCAGGACCCATCAGCTCCAAGTCAAGTTGTTGTCCTTCAATCTTAGTTGTGGAGGGCGCAGCTCAGCTCCAAGTCCAATCGCCATTTTTCAGTCTAGTTGTGGGGGGGCCTAGCCCACCATCCTATGTGGGAGTTGAACTGGCAACCTTATTGTTAAGAGCATGTGCTCTAACCAACTGAGCCATCTGGCCACCCACTGACTCAGCTCAAGTTGTTGTCGTCAATCTATTGCAGAGGGTGCAGCTCACTGGCTTATGT